TCCCATATTCCGTTTATGCTCTTCTCTCTTGAGGGTCCTAGGATCCTCTTACTCTAGTGAAAGATTAATTACTCCCCGCTTTTTGTTCCACATCTTGTACGTTTACAGTTGTGACAATCTCAATTAATCATGATACCAATTACTCACTGTTGAATCAAAAGAATCCTATCCCCATCCTTCCCCATCCCCTTTCATCAGAGCTATGTGGACATGAGGAAAACTATTTAGTGGAAATTCTACCTTACCCCCCTTGTTCTGAAACTCAGCATACCCTTGAAAGCTTATAAGCTAGTCACTTCCTGCCTTTATAGCCCACCATTTTTGGTAGCCAGTGTTTAAGTTGCCCGTCCATATCAACCCTGTGCCCTGAGGGGACAGGCTTGATCCTTGATATGAAGAATCCTTCCCTTTTGGTAGGAATTTTGAGCAACTATATCCATAAGCAAAGGTCTAGTTCATAAAATTTTAGCAATTTATGCTTGCTTCCTATATTAAACTTCTTTATCTTCCTCTAGTGGAGTTCTGATCAGCAAGCCATTTGAAACTAGGTCAGATGGGTACTGTCTGCAATCTTGAGCATTCTTACACACCTCCCTCCACTTCAGACCAGCTGTCTGCTTCATGCTCAGCTCTAGCCCCCAGTGGTTTTATTTAGTGGGCACCTGTCTTAATCACTTTTACAGCCATATGTACCTTTTCATAGTTCAAAGCGTAATTGATGTTAAGTAATTAAGGAGCTCTGGTAGCATAGTGGTTACAAATCAGGCTGCGAACCGCAAGGTCAGCAGTTCAAAACTACCAGCTGTTCTGTGGGAGAAAGATGAGGCATTCTGCTCCCCTAAAGGTTTACAGCCTCAGAAACCCTGTATAGGGTCGCTGAGTCGGAACCGACTCCAAGGCACATAACCACCACCACCAGTTAACAGTTTATTTAGTATATGAGGACAGGGACAAAGGCTATTTATTTTGTTCACCATTGTGATTGCATGGTTTTGACAAAAACATTGCCAAGCATATGGAAGGTACTTGATATATTTGTGGAATGCAATACTTCAGTTCTCTAGAAATGTAGGAAAGGATGGAAGCAGTGGGAGAGGGTGCTGGTCAATTGAATATGTCTTTATCTACAAGTTCCTATGAAAATATTTTGACATTTTGGGTGTTTTATTTTCTTCTCTAATTTATTAACAACCTTATAGTATATATTTATTTCTAATAATTTTACTTTTTTTCACATAGTCTGATAATGTAACTTGCCTATGTATTCAGAATTTTAATATTTTTAATCACATCTGCAAAGGCTCTGATTTTATTCTTTTGTTGTTGTTTGGTGCCGTCGAGTCCATACCGACACATAGCAACTCTTATGCACAGCAGAATGAAACAGTGCCCGATGAGTTTTGATTTGTGACTACTGTCCACAAGTGATGTATTAATGACATAAAACTGTTCACAAGTCTTTATTTTCAAATGCTTTTCTTTTTTTTAAGTTTTTATTGTGAGTTGAGTAAAAGTTCACAGGGCACATACCAGTTTTACATTCAACAAATCATATACTCTGTTTCATTACAATGATTATATCCCCTCCATGTACTATTAGTTAATAGCATTCCTCTCTATTCAATTTAGCTCTTTTTTTAAAAAAAAACATTCAGGCATTTATAATATTTTAAACCACCAAAGGGCACATTCTGCAAGCCTGCCTCCTGGCCGCCAGCTCTCAGTCCCTCTCTTTCCATGAATCTAGAGTCCTCAGCTGCTCCCTCTCTCCATGTCTCCATCTCTGCCTCCATATCTGGTGTCATTGCGTCTCTAGATAAGGTGCCACATTCTGCTTGTGCTCTTCTCCCTTGATGGTCCTAGGGTCCTGAGTTCCTGGTCTGTAAAATTAGCTGCTCCCCCATTTTTGTTACAAAACCTTTACCTTTACAGTTGTGAAAATTGCAATTAGTCATGCTAACAATTACTATTGAATCAAAAGAATCCTATCCCCATCTCCTTCCATCAGACCTGTCTAGACAAGATGAAAACTATTAAAAAATAATTTATTTTAGTTTCCTTGTTGTTCAGAACATGCACCAATTCAACAATTTTTACATGTACCATTCGGTGACATGGATAATGAAGACAATTTGAAGTCATTCTCACTCACCTTTTCCATGTTGTTCCTACCCCATTGACAAAAATATAGTACCCTCTCTGTGGTGCTGTAGGATAAGTACTCTACTACAAGGTCGGGTTGAGCTACCTGGTTAGTGGTTCAAACTCACCAGTAACTCCTCAGAAACCCTATACAAGTGCCTCCAGATACTATCCATGAGGATTCAGCTCTGACCTCAGACAGCTCTGTGTGTGTTTGTGTGTCTGGGTGGAGGAGTTGAGAGGCTGGGGATGCTTCACTGATCACTGGGTGTTTGGGAATAGGGGCTGGCAATGCCTCTGGCCACCAAGAGGGTCTGAAGAACAAGGGATTTTTCTGTCACCAGCATGAGTGTTTTCGGACCACTGTCTTGATTGACTACTGCTTGCAGAATTTCAAAATGGCAGTGAAACATCAGGCCAGCTGACAGTTCACCCATCTCTAACCTCTCTTACTGTTTTTGTTCAGCATCTTCTCCTAGTCAGTATTCAGTCCACTTCTTTATTCTTTCATCTGAAGTTCAGGGTTCTAGGATTATCATGTTTACTGTTTCATTTGGTCTCTTGTGCTTTTCTTGTAAATGGTCTGTAGTGAGTCTACCTAGTTCACCATATTGTTCTAAATCTGATCTTTGTTTTTGGAGGTTGGAAACATTACATATATATAAACTTATAGATGTATTTGAATACATGCATCTGAAGCCCAACCCACTGCTCTCAAGTCAATTCTGACTCAGAGCTATCCTTTAGGGCAGAGTAGAACTGCCCCCTAGGGGTTCCAAAGTTGTATCATCTTTGCAGAATCAGACTGCACCGCTTTCAGAGTGGCTGGTGGGTTCTAACTGCTGAACGTTCAGCTAGCAGCTGAACTCTTTAAGCACTTGCCACCAGGACTCCTTAATGCATACACTTATACATAAAAAATATACATCAAGATGAACAAACATTAGACAATGTTGGTAATTTGTCAGTTCAGTTAATAATTCTGCATGTGAAAGGTTCAAAATTATATGGCTTATCTCTGGGAAAGGGGATGATATTTCTGTGAGAAAATTAGTGAAAGTTGTCTGCATGCTCCTTATTTTTTTCTTTTCTTCATATATTTTGCATTAACATCTCACTGCTTTCTGAACCTGCTTGTGAACTTTAACAAAATGATCAGCACTTGGATCCATGTTTTCAAGCAACTGACACTTAAACCAAAAACCAATACTATGGTAATGGAGTTAATTTCTATTCATAACCACCCTATGTTGTTGTTGTTGTTGTTAGATGCCATCGAGTCGGTACCAACCCATAGCGACCCTCTGCACAGCAGAATTAAACACTGCCAGATCCTGGGCCAACCTCACTGCTGTTGCCATACTTGAGTCCATCAATGCTGTCACTTGGCCAGTCCATCTCATTGGAGGCCTTCCTCTTTTTCTCTGACCC